CGGGCGCAGCCGCAGACGCTCGGCGGCGCGCCCCGGGGGGGAGGGCAGAGGGGGGAGGAGGAGGAGGAGGAGGAGGAGGAGGAGGACTAGAAGCCTCCTAGGGTCGGAGGATCGCGCCGCATCCGCGATGCGTCCGCGACGTCGGCGACTCATCGGCGACGTCCGCGTGAAGGAAATCGGGCTCCGCAGCGAGCCGCATCGGCGATGTATCGGCGATGCGGCGCGATCCTTCGACCCCATTTACTCCGACCCCTATCGAGGAGGCCTAGAATGATACAGTCAGAACGTGTATTAATCGGCGGCGAGCGAGGGGGGGAAGTGGGAAGGAGGAGGCCTTCGCTGAAGGCGGCGGGACTTCTCAGAAGCACTTGGGCCCTCCGAGAAGCTTCCTGCGTCTTCGGGAATGCTTAGAAAGCTTCTCAGAAGGCTGGGGACTTCCGAGCCTTCTGAGAAGGCCAGGCCCTTTTCACTTCCACTCTGGGCTCGCTGCCGAATCAAGGACGGGTGGTAAGGACGCATGACCCTTGGAAGCCGAAATCGGCATTTCTGGGCGGCGGGCGGCCAGTGAAAACGGCAAAGGACGGGCCGCAGAGGCAACGAGACAAGGGCACCCTGGATGAAGGTGCGCGTCCTTGCCAGGCGCCTTGACTGTAAGGAGGATGAGCGTTGGCAAGCCATCTCAGAAGGCTCAGAAGGCCTCAGGCCTTCTGAGAAGCTTCGCGGGGCTTCTCCGAAGCCGCGAGGGACGTCTCAGCAGGCCAACTGGCTTCTGAGCATCCCCGTCGCCTTCCGAGAAGGCCTGCCCCCTCTCGATTCTCCCCTCGGCGCGCCACCGAGATGCAGGAGACCAGGGAGCACCAAACTGACGACAGCGCACCCGGTGCCGCCGACCAGCCCCAGGACCGTTCCGAGGTCCTCCACCGCCAACGCCAGCAAGATCGACGGCGCCATGGTCGCCGCGGAGAGCCCGCAGAAGGAGTGCCGGTCGAGGCTGCCAGCTGGAGCCAGGTGCAGCAGCCTGGCAGCGGACTCGCGGGCCGAGTGATGCCGCAGCGGGAGGCTCGTGCCCAGCGCGACGGCCAGCGCCAGAGATGCCAGCGCGCCGTCAGCTGCGCCGCGGAACTCAAGCAGTACGTCGGAGCGCACACCGGGTCCGAAGACTGTGTAGCCACTCACGCCCACAGCTGCGTAGAGCACTGTGGCCAGCGCCGTAGCGCCCGCGGCGGTGCCTATCAGCCGCGCCACCGAACGCTGGCGCAGCTCAAGGGCCACGACAGGCAGCTGCATGTGACAAGTAAACGCGAAGACGAACACTGGAGCGGCTTGACCTACCGCCACGAGCAGCAAGGCCTCCCCCGTCGCGCCCACCATCTGCGACTCGGGCTCGGCGCCAAACGCAGTCGGATCCTGCCAACTCCAGAGCAGAGCGCGCGCAACCACGCAGGCAGAGACCGCCGCGTATGCGAGGATCGACAACACACTGGTGAAGCGTAACGCGTGTAGTTCCCTCTGCAGGCACAGGGGACCGAGCAACAATGCCACGACCACAACGCAGAGCCTACGAGGAAGTGCCATGCCAATGAAAGTCGCCACGGTATCCAAGGCGTCTCCGATCACGATCAGGAACGATGTCTGGGCACCCACCAACATCAAGAACACTGTCAAGTCTGGCAGCTGCTGGAGCTGTTTCGGTAGACCACTGCGGGCAAGAAGCGTGTTGAACGACGCCCCGGGGTGGTCTGCCTGCAACACCGCCAGCATGCTGAGCGTGGCGACGCTGCTGAGAGCAGACAGGCCGAGCAGCAGCAGCCCCAGGCCGTAGCCGCACCTCGCGATAGCCCACGGCATGCCGAGCAAACCTGTGCCCAGCATCGTGGTCGCGAAGCTCAGCATGCATGACCACATCGGGGCCTTCCCCTCAGGACACCCGCGGCCCAGCAGCGGCTCGCGCATGCCCCCCGCCGCCATGACGCCGCGGGGTGGCGCACCCGCGGCCCTCGGACACGCGCGCCGGATCCGAGATGACGACGGAGCGGGGAGCTCGCTTCTCGTTGGCCCACCAGCATTCAGAAGACGCTCCTGGGAGCCTCTCGTAATCACCTGAGTGACCGCAGCGGCTCCTCCGATGGCCACCATTGGACCCCAGCGCCCCCCCGAAAGCCTAGAGCCGCCTCCAGTGTCTCCTCCAGTGGCCCCCCCGCGGCCTCCAATGGCCTCCAGTGGCCTCCCGTAGCCCCCAGTGGCCTCCAGTGACGCAAGCAGACGACTGTGGACCACTCGAGGCGCAGGAAAGCCAGGCCAACTGACAAGAAGAGGCTCCCAGGATCGTTTTCTGAACCAGCACGATGCGCCTGGATCGCTTCTTTAGAAGAAGAAGAAACACGTAAACATAAACTCTTGGCGCTCCGCGCGGATTTCGTGGAGTCGCGCTGGACCCCCCTCCCTGGCGCGCGGAGCGCGCCAGGGGCGGCGCCGGGGGCGCCGCCAGGGGGCCCCAGCGCGGACCTGAGAAATCCACGAGGCGCGCCAAAAGGTTCTGTTTGTGGCGTTCTCTTTCCCGCACTTTGCGCACAAACGCTGCCAAGTTTGCACGTGCGTTGCAAAATGTGTCCGTGTGCTGCAGAGTGTGACAGTGCATTGCAGAGTGTGACCGTGCCCTTACAGGTCATCTGAGAATGCATTTCAGAACCATCCCATGCCGGGGGATGTCTTCAAAGCACGGCTGGGATAGACAATAAGTTCTTTCTTATTTTTCAAAGAGCAAAGGCATCCTCTTCGAGGACCAAGGTCGGGGAGACGTAAGACTCGGTTACGGGGGACTCGGGTTGGCCCGACGGGGCCATCAGAAAAATGACGAGGCCCAATCTGAAATCTGACGCGAGCCCCCGCGGCAGACATCCCACGAACACTGGACCGCCAAAATCCATAACGCGCTCGCCAAAAAAACGTCGGCAAAACCCGAGTTCCGGCTTACTCGGGCCTTGCGCTTCCCCGACAGGGACCCGACCCTGATGGTCCGCTACCGAAAATTTCCGGTAGCGCTCCGCAGAGATCGGTCGCTACCGAAATACCGAAATGTAGCGCCCAATACCGGTATCAGAGCGTTCTGAAACCCGCTATTTCCACGCCCTCAAACGAAGATCCGGTCGCTACCGAAATTCGGGGTGCGTCGAAATCGCTACCGAAAATCTCCGGTACCGTGGTGTCCCAACAGTGTCCCGTGGTGTCCCGTGGGGTCGCGTGGTGACCCGTCGGTGTCCCGTCGGTGGCCCGTAGTGAGACCGACAGTCAGATCGACAGTGAGATCGATAGTGAGATCGATAGTGAGATCGATCGTGAGATGGATAGTAACTTTGATAGTGAGATCGATAGTGAGATCAATAGTAAGAGCCATCGTGGGATCGTCAGTGAGATCGATCGTAATATCGATCGAGTGAGGTCGATAGTGAAGTCGATAGTGGTGGCGCGTCGGTGTCCCGTCGGTGTCCCGTGGTGGGATCCATACTGAGATCGACCGTAAATTCGATAGTGAGACCGATAGTGAAATCGGTTGAGATCGATAGTGAGATCGATAGTGAGATCGATAGCGAGATGGAGAATAACTTCGATTTTGAGATCGATTGTGGTATTAAAAAAAGAGCCGTACTGCGATCGATAGCGGGATCGATGGTAAGATCGATCCGGTGAGATCGATAGTGAGGTCGATAGTGATGGCGCGTCGGTGTCCTGTGGTCGGATCGATGCTGAGATCGATCATGAGATCGATAGCGAGACCGATAGTGACATCGATAGTGAGATCGATAGTGAGATCGATCGAGTGAGATCGATAGTGAAATCGATAGCGGGATCAATAGTGAGATCACTTGAGTAAGTCGTTGCTTCCTCCCTGCGTCCTCGAGAGGAGGATGAGGATCATTGCGAAGGGACAAAAAGAGGGGGCATGGCAATGCGAGGCAGGAAGACCCGTGTGTAAGCCGTCTCGCGTGGTGCTCGATATCACCCTGGAGGGCTGGAAGCACGGTTTGTCCGCACATACTGTTCTCGCATGCCCATCTGTGCGTCCATCGCTTCAGGACACTGGGCAGCCGCTGCGCTAGGGCGAGACGTGGCATACATGAGGCAAGCAGGGCAAGTCGCACAAGGACCCAGACATCCCGCGGCCTTCACGTTTTTGAAGTACACCCTGCGAAATGCTTAAGAAATCATGGGTTAAGAAATTCATGGTCTCAGAACTTGAATAAAAACCCAAAATTTCCATTCAAATCTTAGGATTTACATTGAAACGTTGAGAATAATCGAGACTCTGGCCGAAAATTTAAGTTTTCTTAAGCATCGCCGAAAGTGTATGGGCCCCGGGTCTCTCGACCCCCTTCCCCCGGACCCGCTCTTCGTCCCGAGCCGCCGTTGTGACAGCCGCAGGGCCGGGAACCAGCCCCAGGGAGGCCGAAAAAACGTTGGAACGAGCACTGGCCGTCTCGATGTCTCGAGTCGCTGGATTCGGGTCGGGCGAAAGGGGGGGATAGCAAAGGGGGGGGTTGAGAATCAGCTCCCGTAGCTGATTTTCCCGGCGCCTCCCGGCGCCGGGAGGCGCCCATGTATCGAGGAATGGGCCCCTCGGTCGGGCCGAAACCAGCTGTATGCAGCAGATTTCGTAACCCCCCCTTTCCCAACCCCCCCCCTGATGGTCCGCTACCGAAAATTTCCGGTAGCGCTCCGCAGAGATCGGTCGCTACCGAAATACCGAAATGTAGCGCCCAATACCGGTATCAGAGCGTTCTGAAATCCGCTATTTCAACGCCCTCAAACGAAGATCCGGTCGCTACCGAAATTCGGGGTGCGTCGAAATCGCTACCGAAAATTTCCGGTACCAGACCATCTGGGCCCCTTTCGCCCGACCCGAGATCCTTCACGCCAGCCCAACACCCTGCTGGACGGGTCACCGAGTCAGAGGCGTGGCGGTCCGCGGTGCAGGGCGCGCGCAAGCGTGCGCTCGCGGCCGCCTTGGGCAGGAAGGGCGGCGTGAGCTGCCGGGACAGCAGACCTGCCGGGGGAGGGACGGGATGCAGAAGGATCGAGGGAAGGGGGGCAGACGGCAGAGGACAAGGTGCCGACACGGTGAGGGCATTGGATGAGGAACCCTTGGATGTGGAATCCAGGGCCTGGAAGCCAGAGGAAGTCCAACGGTGCATTGGGCATGGACATCACTGCCGCCCACAGGTGGGCTGCCCCCCCCCCGTAGGGACTGGACTGGGAGTCTATCCCCCTCCATGGGCGGACCCCGCCCTCAATGGGCGGCCCCCCCTCCCCCCCATTGGACAAGTCCAATCCAATGGTGGCCCCTCAATGGGCGGACCCCACCCTCAATGGGCGGCCCCCCCCCTTGGACAAGTCCAATCCAATGGTGGACTGCACACCCCCCCCCCAGGTCTGGAGCCTCCTGGGCACACTCCGTGACAAACGCTCCCACCGGGCCGCGGCCAGTCCCGGGGAGACCTCCTGCCGCCGCGGCTGCACATGTCGCCTCCAAGCTCGGGCCGGAAGAAAGCACCGCACCCCAGGAGAGGGCTGGGCGCGAACGAATGGGGGGGGGGGCGAGAAATGGGGGGGCGGGTGACACATGGGGGGCGATAGCTGGGAGGGGGGATCAATGGGTGGGCGGCAGATGGGGGGGCGACGCATGGGGGCGAGAGATGAAGGGTGACAGGGGGGAGAGGGAGGAAGGGTACCCTTCTCGGGCCACCCCAGAAGCCCCCTTGAGGCGCCCATCTGCAGCCCTCGCCCCCCCCCCCCCCCCCCCATTTATCGCCCCCCTCCCCCCGCGTCCTCTGAGAGAGGGTCCCCTGGAGCGGCGGTGTCCGGTAGCTTGCTGGCCGTCCTCCCAGGAAAGGGGGGGGGGGGGGGGGAAGACGGGGGGAGGGGAGGCGGGAGGGTGGCATGTGGCATGGGGGAGGAGGAGGAGGAGGAGGAGGAGGAGGAGGAGGGGAGGAGGAGGAGGAGGAGGAGGAGGAGGAGGAGGAGAGGAGAGGAGGAGGGAGGAGGGGGAGGAGGAGGAGGAGGAGGGGGAGGAGGAGGAGGGAGGATGGAGGAGGAGGGCGAGGGGGAGGAGGAGGAGGAGGAGGAGGAGGAGAGAGGAGGAGGAGGAGGAGGACGAGGAGGAGGGGAAGGGGATGAGGAGGGATGGCGAGGAGGGGCAAGAGGAGGAGGAGGAGGGGGCGGCCAAGATTGGGGAAAGGGAGGGGGGCCGAGGAGGGCCCCACGCCCCGAAGAGGGAGAGCCCCCCGGCCCGCCTCTCTAGAGAGGCGGGGGCCAGAGGGGGGCGATGGCACAGTTTTGAAGTTCAAGTTTCTGGGCCAGGAGGGTTGGCCGAGTAGCGTCGGCAATCCCCGAGGTGGGCTTGGGAATCACGGGGCGGTCGCGGGCGGGAGAAGATGAAACACCGATTCCTCAATCAACACATGCACTGAACGGGCCCCCGCGGATAAAGCGCATGCAAACATGTCATGCCAATTTCGGTACGCGACCAGGTTACCGGGCTTCGAATTTCGGATCTTCCACAAGATGACAGTCGAGGGCCCCAAGAGGAGCCCTAGAGGAACCATAATGAACTCACGCAGTTGCCCTCTCGCGTGAGATTGTCGCGGCTCCGCTGACCCCCTCTCGGGGCCGTCTCGGGGCCCTCTGGGACGGCGCCGGGGGGGGGGGGCGGCCCTCGGAGGGCCCCAAGAGGGCCCCAAGAGGGGGCCCAAGAGGAGTCGACATGAAGTCAGGGGAGAGCTCCCTCGCATGTCTTCATCGTGTCTCCTCTTGAGCCGCTCATGGGTCATCCCAGGGTTCCTCTCGAGACCTTCGAGGCCTCTGGTATGGTTCCAAGAGGGCTCGAGAGAACCCCAAGAGGGCCACTCCCAAATGCTCCCGGGAAGCGTTCCGAAACGCAGCGCCAGGAACATCCAGAAACATGCATTATCGAAGCCCTCTTGGAGCCTTATTGGGGCCCCCCTTTCAAGTCCGCCTTCCTTCCTATTCCCACTCTGGCCCCGTGTGGGCCACGTATTACTCCCCGTCCTCTTCCTCGCCCCTTCCTCCTCCGTTCCGTCGCCCCACTCACGTTTTTGTTCGTTTCGTTGGCCTCGCGCCAATCGTCAATGGATCGCCATGTGAAAAATATTCGTTCGAACCCCACGAATTAAGTGTCGGTGTATGCTTGTTTCTCTAGGCGCCGCGGGCGGCGGGGGGGCCTCTCGGGAGCGTGGAGTTGCGGACGTAGCGGGGGGCGAGGAGGAGGAGGAGGAGGACAAGGAGAAGGATGAGGAGGAGGGTGATGATCATCAGCAGAAGGAGTGGGACAGATACGAGGAATGGGGATGAGGAGGAAGAGCGAGAGGAGCAGCAGCAGCTGGAACAATAGCATTAGGTGGACGAGGGAACGCCCTCCTAGGGCAGTGGAAGGCACGATGTTTCGACACGACTTCGACGTGGTCTCGACGCACTGCGACATGGCAGTGGTGACACACCTCTGAGTTATCGCCACGTTCTGCTTCCAGATCTGACCACTGCACCGCGCAGCTTGCTGCTGTTGCTCGGCCTGCACCGCACCGTGTCCTGGACAGCGCTGCCCCGCCAAGGATCCACTCCTTCCACTCCCGCCCCTCCACACCCGAAACTTCTGGCACGAGGAACAGCGGCAGAGGCACGGCACGTCGTAAAGAAAACGTGGGAAGGTCCGCGCGGCGTTCTTGCATCGGCGCTGCACTCCTAGGCGGCGCCTCCGGCGCCGCCCCTGCACTCCCGCTCTCTTGGCGTGAGGAACAACGGCATAAAACATAGCAATCGTGAAGAGAACATCGGAGGCTCCGCGCAGCTTCCTCGGATCGGCGCCGAACTCCCCGGCGGCGCCTGCTGGCGCCGCCCCGTGGCGCGCCCCGTGCGCCGGGCACGGGGGGCTGGTGCCGGTCCAGGGCGTCCGCGCGGACCTTCGAGCGTTTGCTCCGGATGCCGCAGCGAAAGGGGGGGGGTCTGACATCGGGGGGGGGTCTGATTGGAGCTGACCTGGAGGGTTCCTCCTCCTCCTCCCCTCCTCTCTCCTCCTCCTCCTCCTTCCTCCTTCCTCCTCCTCTCCTCCTCCTCCTCTCCTCCTCCCTCTCTCTCCTCTCTCCTCCTCTCCTCCTCCTCTTCTTCCCCAGGGGGTCCAGGCACAAGGCTGCACGGCTGGTCTGGGGGGGGCTACAGCGGCTCGTTTGGGAGGGTCGTGACCCCCTCCCTTTTTACTACGGAGTGTGGAGAGTGCTGGTTCTGCTGTTTGTGTTCCTCCTGTCTCTGCCTTTCCTCCCCTCCTGCATGGCGGCGCAATTCGCTGCAACGGTACCCCCGTTTAGGTGGCCCTCCGCCAGCGCAGCTACCCTGCCTAGCCGCCGATGCAAAAAGTTGCTATTCCTCCTTGAATCCTGACCCCGCTCCCTCTCTCCACCCGAACCAGGGAGTCCGCCCACGAGAGAGGGCCCCCATGCCCGCCCGGCAAAAAAACACGACGCTCTGGCCAGAGGCGGGGATAGGGGAACAAAAAGTGACATGAACATAAAAACTCGGAGGTCCGCGCGGACTTCTCGGATCGGCGCTGGACCCCCCTCCCTGGCGCGCGGAGCGCGCCAGGGGCGGCGCCGGAGGCGCCGCCGGGGGGCCCCAGCGCCGATCCGAGAAGTCCGCGCGGACCTCAGAGTTTTTATGTTTTGTCACTTTTTGTTCCCCTAGGGGAGGAAACGGCACGCAGATCCCTTCGAGCGGGAGGAGGCCCTCCTCCGTGGAGCGCGTGACCCCCCCCCCTCCCCTGCAGTGGCCTCATCAGCTCCTGCGGGCTGCCACCCTCCCAACCACTGCCACATTCCAGCGAGGCTCCTCGACCCCCACGAGGAGAGGAGGAGGAGGAGGAGGAGGAGGAGGAGGAGGAGGAGGAGGCGGAGGAGGAGGAGGAGGAGGAGGAGGAGGAGGAGAATCGACTACACGCAAGAATGACCCTAGGCAAGAGTGACCTTTTGGCGCGCAGTTTATGGTGGGCGCGAGGGGGAAACCTAAGCGCGCAGGCCGCTGCTATCGCACCGCGCTCAGCGATCGGGGTGATCCCAGTGAGCCCGCACCAAAGGTCACTCAGTTGAAAGGTCACTCTTACACCTAGTCGAGAGGAGGAGGACGAGGACGTGGAGGAGGAGGAGGAGGAGGAGGAGGAGGAGGACGAGGAGGAGGACGAGGAGGACGAGGAGCTTTGCCTAGGGCAAACGCGGCAACGGGGCCTGCGCCGCCCACGTGCGCACTGCCGGAGGGGAAGGTGCAGGGGAGCAGCGGGGAAAAGAGGAGGGCGCGGCGGAGTAGGATCACGTGCAGAGCCGGACGAAGTCCTCGAACCGCCCTCCTGGCTCCTCGAAGGCATCATGGTCCTGATCGTCCTCCTCCCCCTCCTCCTGCCTCCCCTGCTGCTGTGGTCGCCGCCGCGCTATCGAAGGCGCCATCGCTCCGCTCCCGTGGTGCCACGGGGGGGCACAGCGGAGCGGGCCGCCGACGCGCCGGCTCTGGAGCAGTCCGACCGCACGTAGGAGTGACCCCAGGCTAGAGTGACCTTTGGTGCGCGGCGGCAGGGGCGCCCGTGGGGGCCCAGTGCGATCGCGCACGCCAGGGCTGCCGCGCCGCGTCGGCGATCGGCGGGCCGCCTGCAGCATCGTCGATCCGGGAGACTCTCCATGGGATCCCCAGGCCCCAGGGGATCCTATGGGATCCCCCCCCTGGGATCCTATCCCCCCATGGGATCCCCCCCCATGAAGAGTCTCCCGATCAATGCTGCAGGCGGCAGGCTCCCGCCCCGGCGGCGCCCCGGCTCCCGCCCCGGCGGCAGGCTCCCGCCCCGGCGGCAGGCTCTCGCCGGGGATCCAAGATCCTCCTCGATGGCTCTCGCCGGGGGAAAAAACAAAAAAGCACGCGTCCGGGCGATGCCCAGGGGCACCTGCAGCCCCCCGCGAGAGCAAGACCTCTGGTGCGCGGCCTCCTGGGGGCCGCGGGGGGACCCAGACACAATGGCGCAAGACGCCACCGATTGCCGTCTGGGCGGGTCTCTCGACTCGAGCTGCGGCCCTGGAAGGGGCCCGAAGAATACAGTGGAAACGTGTACTGAGGACGAGCGGTAAGGGCGCAAGACCCTTGGAGGCCGAAATTGGGATAGTCTGAGCGGCGGGCGACCAGTGAAAACGGCAAAGGACCGGCCGCAAGGACACAAGGGTACACCAGATAACGCCGCGCATCCTTCCTAGGCGCGTTGACTGCATACACCACGTCGCTTGGTCGGCCAAGGAGCTCGATGTACAAACGCCGCAGATTCCAAACCCTGTGTGACGCTAGAGCGGCTACATCACATTCCTTCGCCTCGGCTACACGCAAGAGTGACCCTGGGTAAGAATGACCCTTGGTGCGCGGCTTTTCGGGGGCCGCGGGGAGACCAAACCTGGGCGCACAAGCCGCCGCTGCCGCTTCTTTTTCCGGCCACCTGAGGACCCATCTCTGCCCGCACCAGAGGCCCCTTCGGCGAGAGGTCACTCTTGCGTCTAGCCGGTTCGCCGAGCTCCACAGCTCTTGGTCGACCGCTCTGCGGGTCGTAACACTCGGGCCCCCGGCGGGCCACTCGGGGACGACGTGGACGCCCCTCGGGGCGCTCCTCCTCGGCGAAGCGCAGCTGCCGGACGGCATCCCGAGGCCGGGAGACCACGGGGGACGGGCGAGCGCACCTCGGGACCTCGACGGCCTCGGACCGAAAGCCTCGAGCCTGCTGGATCCGAGCGATGGCCCCCCGCCCGAGGCTCAGGACGGCGGCCCAGAGGCGACGCCGCCCCCGCCGCGAGGAGTGCGCGGTGCTGGGCGGGGGGACCGTCCCAGCTGAAGTCCTTGAACCAGCTGTGGAACTTCACTTCGGCGTAGCCGTCGGGGCCAGCCCCTGCCAGGCCCCCCACCCCTCCCGGGGGGCGACTGCCCGGCGTCGCACGCAGCGCGCCCACGAGGCGAAGCAGCACGAGGAGAGGAGGAGAAGGAGGAGGAGGAGGACGATGACGAGAACGATGACGATGATAATGATGTTGATGATTATGATGATGATGATGATGATGATGATGATGATGATGATGATGATGATGATGATGATGATGCTGGTGGTGATGATGATAATGAAACTGATGATGATAATGATGATGATGGTGAAGAGGATGATGAAGATGATGATGATGATGATGATGATGATGATGATGATGATGATGATGGTGGTGGTGACAACGATGATGATGGTGATGATGGAGATGATGAGAACGATGACGGTGATCATGAGGATGATGATGCGAATGATGATGAAGATAAGGATGTTGACAGTGATGATGGTGACGTGCTGATGGCAATATGATGCCGATGGTCATGATGAAGGGGATGAAGGTGATGATGTTGATAATTCTGAATATGATGATGATGACAATGTCACGTGGGCCTATGATGATGCTGATGGTGAGAATGGTAATGCTGATGCTGACGCTGATGCTGCTGATGCTAATTCTCATGACGGTGTTGATGCTGATGCTGATGCTGGTGCTGATGCTGATTATAATGCTGATGCTGCTGACGGTGGTGGTGGTGAGGATTAGGATGATGAAAATATTATGGTGCTGGTGATGGTAATGATGATGATGATGATGACGACGATGCTGACGATGATGCTGATGATGATGCTGATCATGAGGATGATGAGTCTAATGAGTATGCTGATGATGATAACGATGTCGCGTGGGCCTACGATGATGCTGATGATGGTGATTATGGTAATACTGCTTATGATGCTGAAGCTGTTGCTGCTGACGCTGATGCTGATAATGATGCTGATGATGCTGATTCGGATGATGATGTTGATGAGGAAGATGATGATGCAGATGATGATGATGGTGTTGGTAATGATGAAGCTGATGATGATACTGATGATGATGACGATGACGATGACGATGATGAAGATGATGATGATGGTGGTGATGATGATGATGAGTATGATGATGATGGTTCTAGCGCACCTTAGAAGGCTGAGAAGGAGGAGGAGCTGACTTGGAGGAAGATGGCGGACAGGAGCGAGAGGAAGGAGAGAGGAGCTGGGAGGAGAAGGATGAGACAAGGCAAGGGAAGGACTGCGTCGGGCCACAGGTCAAAGTTACACTCGACACCTACACACATCGACTCACAACGATATGCAAGACCTGCAATGCGCGCAAACGCATGAAACTTACGGAGGAGAAGACGGAAAAGGAAGAAGCAAGCAGAGGAGGAAAAACAGGAGGGGGAGCGGAAGAGGTTCCGAGGGTCATCACGGGCCATGTGAACTCCAGGGGGCCTCCAGGGGGAGGGGGGAGCGGTGGAGGATGTTGCAGGAGGCGGAAGTGGAGGAGAAGGAGTGGAGGAGCAAGGAGGGGGAGGAGGAGACGGAGGAGGAGGAAGAAGAAGAGGAGGGGGAGCAGCTCCGTCGATGATGTCTGCCTAACACAAGGAAGATGAGGACGAGGAGGAGGAGGAACATGTGGAGGAGGAGAAAGAGGAGGAGGAGGAGGAGGAGGAGGAGGAGGAGGAGGAGCACGAGTAGTAGGATATGGAGGAGGAGGAGGAGGCGGAGGAGCCAGGAGAGGAAGGAGAGGGAGGAGATGGAGGAGCCGGAGGAGGAGGAGGAGGAGGAGGAGTGCACATTTGGTTATGGTGCCGCCCATGGGATTCGGGCGACCCTTTCCAGCCAGCTGCCCGGCGCAGCCATCGGGGGTTCGCATCTGATAGTGACGTCGCGCTCGCGCTCGCCTCGCGAGCCAGCGTGGCACCGCCGAGCTCGCCAAGAGCGGTCTGAGGCTCGCCAGCCGACCCCTGGCGGCGCACCAAAGTGCGCAGCAATCACGACTGCCACTGCACGGATAATATGCCAGCCGCAGTGCAGGCGCGGGTGGACCTCGCTCGACCTGCTTCTGTGGTCAAAGGTGGAAGCGCATCTCTGGGTCTCTGGTGGTGTTCCTCGTGTCGTGATGCTGTCCAGGATCGGCGTGGGCCCAGCAAGAAGCCTGCGAGGCATCGGCAGACCAGTGCAGCTCGTGGCTCTTTGCCCAGGGCCAAACTCGGTCGCGATCGAGCCCAGCACGACTGGCGGCTCGACCAGGGTATCGACAGAGTGGCTCACAAATTGTTCGATCGAGTAGTGTCATCTTCTCGACAGTTCGCAGCATCTCACGAGTCCTGGACGGAACGGGCCCCACCAGACGATCGCAAAGCTCAGAGACAATTTTGAGACAGAGTTCGTAGATGGCTGCTCGCGCTTGCAAGGTTGGCGATCCAGGTACAGCGGGCGAAGCGAAGAGCTTCGGCAGGAGATTGCCATGCTCAAATTCTCCTTGGATCAGAACATACCGTTGAGCCGTTGAGTGAGCAGAAGGCCGAACATTTTGCCAGACGTTCTTTCCAAGGAGCTGGAGGATCTCAAGAGCACCAGTGCTCAGATGTTCACCCTGCAAACCCAATGAGGCAGCCAGCGAGATAGAAGCCAAGCTGAGGGAGATAGACGACCTCACGCCCAAATAGGACGGCAGTCATGGCGGCAAAACAAAACGCCACAGCCTGCTGCTTCCAGCCAGGCCGGAGCGGAGGTGGCGGTGTGAAGCAGATCGCCAAGTCTGCAGCAGCAGGACCAGAGGGGCAAAGCAGCAGACCTTCAGTTTCAGGCTCAGAACCAATAGACGGCCCTCCATATGCAGCATGCGCATCAACTTGCCATCGCTGGGACGTCCATTCCCCGTGCACGTTTGGGTTTCGTGCGCGTGTTTTGTCTCTCAAGCTGATCCAGGATGCTCCTCGATGGCCCCCTGTTGAGGGGGATAAACAACGTGTCCCAGCGAAGCCAAGGCAAGCCATGACCTACCGCGGGGGAGGGGGGCGGGGGGCGGCGTGCCAAAACCGCCCGTCGCCCCTCGCTCCTGGCCACAGATTTCCGCAGTTGGTTACTCGGGTCGCTCTGGCGGTTCGCGCCTTCCCGATCGCGTCCTAAGAGATATGCTCGTGGATGCCATGCAAATGGACACTCTAACAATCCCATCATTGAATTAAATATGTGTTTGGCACGTGTAAGACATGTCCTAACCATGTGTCAAGCATGTTCTTTGACATAGCTAAAACATAGTTGACACATCTTTTGGACATCTGGAAATCGTTTGGCATAGCATGCTTCCTTTGGTAGTCCCCAAACGTGGTGGTGACAACACCTGGCGGTGAGTCTCGGGTGATTTGGTGTCACCACCCGGTTTGGGGACCCGTGCGGTGTTCCGAGGATGTCCTGGACACCGGTGGGTCCAGGAGCCACAGAACCCGGTGGTGACCCCGCGTCCCCAAAAACCCAGCGGTGACCTTTTTGGGGGATTCCAGGTCGCCACCTGGCATCTCACCACCCGGTTTGGGGGTTCCCAATTCCTCTCCGTCAACATCGACTTCCGCAAGGATGTGCCGGGGGGGCTCCGGCCTCCGAAGGTGCCGCCCCCGTGGCCTCCGCGCTGGCCTCTCCAGCCCCCGCGGAAGGGGGGGGCGGCACGAGCCCCCGCTCTCGGCCGCCGGGATCCGCGGCACGCCTCGGCGTGCGCGTGTGTGTACGTGTGTGGGCGGGTGCGTGCGGGTGTGTGCGGGTGAGTGTGTCTCCGTCTCTCGTTCCTTCTCTCTCTCTCTCTCTGTTTGTCTCTCTCCCTCTCGATCTCCCTCTCTCTGCATGTCTCTCTCTCTCTCTCTCTCTTCCCCTCTCTTCCATTCTCTCGCTCACTCTCTCTCTCTCTCTCTCCCTCGTTCTGTCTGTCTGTCTCTCTCTCTCTCTCTGTCGCGTTGTCTTCCCCCTCCTCCTGTTCCTCTACGTCGTCGTTCCCGACCTTGTACTGTTCCTCTCCGCCTCGTCGTCCTCATCCCCCCGCCCCCTCCTTCTCCCCACGTCCCCCCCCACCTCCTCCGCCTCCACTCCCTCGAGGGGCAACGACGGAGGGGGAGCGGCGGAAGGGGACAAAATCGACCTGGGATCGGCGATGCATCGTCGACAGATCGCCGATAGGCCTCCGACAGTGAATCCCAACGTTCCTGGGCAGGTTGGGGCTATCGGGCCACTATCGGCGATCAATGTGCGATTGGGGGTCGAGGAATCCCCACGTATGCTTACCCCCCCCCCCCTATCGTTGCCCCTGAGGGAGGGGGTCTAGGAGGCCCGACAAATTATGCACAGGGGGCTCTTGTTAGCAGAGGCATCAAACCAAACCACCCACAGTTTTTGTTTACACCTACTGACTAGACGGGGGCCCAAGCCATGGCGACACGCTCTGCGTTGCGAGGAGATAGCGTGCCACCCCGCTCCGCGGGGCGGGAGGCTGGGAAGAGCTGGGGACGTGGACGCCTGGGGACCGCAAAGTGGACAGCGCGTCGCGCCGAGGCGGAGCAAGAGTTACCCACCGTCTCCGGGAAAGGGACGGCGAAGGCAACGGGACAGCGCCCGGCAGCCGATTATCGGGAGCGGGGAGCAAGCGGGGAGCGGGAGCGTCGGGCAGCCCAGACGAGAGAACAGCAACAGGCTACGGGATGTGCGCTCTGGCCAGGGCTTCGAGGTCCCTGACCTTCCAGAGAGCTATTTTTTAGCACTGGAGACCTAAAGACCTAAAAAGCTGAGCGAAACAGCCTAAAACCAAGACGTAGAATAGCTTTGGGATAGGTTTTTAAGTCGGGTGCTATTTTTTAGCCCTCCTGGAAGGTCAGGGGTAGCCCCCCCCCAGTGGCGACGAGGGCCTCCCAGGAGGCCCAGAGGGGCGGGAGCGGGGCGAGGCAGGTGGCCCCGGAGCCCGTGCCTGCCCCGTCGGAGGGGGGCGGGGGCCTGGGCGCAGCGCGGAGGCAGCGGCTGCGGACCCCCATGCGGGCCGAGGCGGGGCGAAGCGCGGCCACGGCAGAGATCCGTGCGGCTGGAAGAGGAGGGGGAGGAGGAGGAGGAGGAGGAGGAGGAGGAGGAGGAGGAGGAGGAGGAGGAGGAGGAGGAGGAGGAGGAGGAGGAGGAGGAGGAGGAGGAGGAAGAGGGAGGAGGCGAGGGAGAGGAGGGGGAGGAGGAGGAGGAGGAGGGGGAGGGGGGGGGGAGGAGGAGAAGGAGGAGGAGGAGGAGGGGGAGGAGGAGGGGGAGGAACAGGCAGCGCCTGAGTCGAACTGTGCTCGTCGAGAGGATCGAAGCAGCGCCTCAGGATGGGAAGCGCGGGCACGAGCAGCAGGCCGACGGGAGGCAGCGGCCCTTTTTGCATCCTCTCCTCCATTGCAGCGAACGCGAGCCTCGGGTTGCAATATGCCCGCAAGGCGTACGAAGCAAGTCCGAAGCCACGCGAGGGCCAACCTGCAAGAGGCGAGCCAACGCGCGAAAGCTTGGCGTGTGCAGAAACTTGTGGCAGTATGTGTGCGCTGACGGGGGGCAGAGAAGGTCGCAGCACCACAGGCCAGCCAGCCCTGCCCGTTGCCCTCCCATTGGCGACTGGTCTACGTTCATGACCAGCCCTTACAGCCGAAGATTTCGAGTCAAGACCGCCGATAAAGTCGTAGGGCTTCCGTTTGAGGGGGGGCATTCAAGGTTATTGTGTGGTTCTGGGAGAAACATGGGCTCTGGGGGAGGAGAAGGAAGGAGGAGGAGGAGGAGGAGGAGGAGGAGGAGGAGGAGGAGGAGGAGGGGGAGGAGAAGGAATGAGGAGGAGGAGGAGGAGGAGGAGGAGGAGGAGGAGGAGGAGGAGGAGGATGGACGAGTCGAACTCTTCGAGCACGTCTTCCGTGCAAGCTCACCGTGCTCGCCTTGTGCTACAAGCGTGCGTCCGCTGCCCCTGCGGGATCCCGTCGGGTCCCGTTCGGCGACTGCCTCGCGTTCGCCCGAAGAGCTGGGCCGATCGGGCGCCGCATGCACCCGATCTCGAGTGCCAACCTGCGTGCGGACGGCTGCAGGCAGAAGCGCTCGAGCACACCAGCAGTGCAAAAGGGAGCACGTCAAGGAGGTGCGTGCAGATGCCCCGGGCTCGACTGAGAGAAGTCCTGCCCCCCCCTCCCATCCATCCTCTAGTGGTGGTTCCGGCGACTGGCAGCTTGGAGCCACACAAGCAGGCTTCCGACATCGAACCGAAGCGTCGTGCAACACTACCCTGTGCATCTGGTATCCAGAGAACCTCGCTGCGCCTGCGCCGCGCAACCTGCCTGCGCGAACAGATCAACCGTGTTGCAATCCGCTGTGCTCTGGCAATGCACTCCCGCTCTAGAGGTAGATCTCCCCAGCAAATTGCGCGAGTGTAGGGAGCATGGCGGCACAAGCAGATTTCGAGGTGCGAAGTGTGCGAATGAGAGGAGGCGAGGATGGCATGACAGCGGGAGCGGAGGAGGAGAGGAAGGCGGAGCAGCGGGATGGGAGGGGGAAGGAGAGCAGGAGTGGGTGTGGGGGTGGCAGAGCATGACAATGGGCAAGCCGCGAAGCGAAAGTCGGGCCGCTGGCCCAACTCTCAGCGTGAGACGGTACCTTAGGCCAGAGCCCAGCTGCAACTATTTGCAGATGCTCTCGAACAGTGATGCTGGGCTCGCGCGCACACGCCCGCTCTAGGGAACGAATCTGCTAGGAGGCATACTAGCCACACACTCCACTAAGCCACAACGTTCGACCGTTACGACAGGGTCGGGAAGGTCTGCTTAGCGTGTCGCGGCGGCGGCCCCAGCGACACGCTATGACTTGCGAACGGGTAGCGTGTCGCTCCGCTCCGCGACGCGCTAAGCCAAAGTTCATGACCGCAAACCATGGGAGGGGGCGAGGAGAACGAGAAAGAGGACGAAGGATGAGAAGGAGGCGAGATGCTGCTCCTCCTCCGCCTGACCTCATCTGCCCAGAGCCTCCACAAGTCATCACGAAAGAGAAAACACGTTTCCTCCTCATCCTTCT